CCCGGGTTCAAGCAATTCTCCTGCCTCAGCCTCCCGAATAGCTGGGATTATGGGCGTGTGCCACCATGCCTGGCTAATTTTTGTATTTTTAGTAGAGATGGGGTTTCACCATGTTGGCCAGGAATGACTTTGATCTCTTGACCTCGTGATCTCCCTGTCTCGGCCTCCCAAAGTGCTGGGATTATAGGTGTGCTAGGCCTCTACATAGCTTTTAAAAATGTCATCCTGCTTTTTCTAAAAAAAAAAATTAAGTGTATCCTTCAAATATCAGTAATATTTAAAATATTCATATTAACACATATTCAATAATTACTAAAACATGTTTAAAAATAGAGAGCTTCTCTCCTGAGCAGTGGTGGGAATGTGAGGTGGTACATTTGGGATTACAGCTTCGGTTCTGTCCCCTCATCCCCAGGAAACTACTGTCTTAACTTATGATGACCAAACAAACCTTTTTGAAACAGTGATTTCAAAAAGGAAAGACAGTCCAAAAACTCTGTATCTGTAGGAAATCTGCCTCATGGGAGAGATTACCCTTCCCCTTTTTTGAAACAAGGTCTCACTCCTGTCACTCAAGGGTGGAGTGCAGTGTCAGGATCTCGGCTCACTGCAGGTAATCCTACTGCCTTGGCTTCTCAAGTAGCTGAGATACAGGCATGCACCACCTGCCCAGCTAATTTGTTTTTGTTTTGTTTTGTTTTGTTTCGTTTTTTGTAGAGACAAGGACTCGCTATGCTGCACGGGCTGGTATCAAACTCCTGGGCTCAAGTGATCTTCCTGCCTCGGCCTCCCAAACTGCTGGGATTACGGGCATAAACCACAGTATCTGACTTTCCTTTTCCTTTGTTGAAGAAGAAGCAAAAGTGTTCCACTTGGCTACCAGTTGGAACTTAGTAAATAAATGTACCTCAGAACTAGAATTATCCATACGGTTATTCTTAAGGATAATTAGAAATGAAACAAAATGAGTGGCGCTTCACTCAGTTCACCAGGCAATGTGTAAAATTCCATGTGTTTGCTGAGATACAAAAGTTTAGAAATCCACATCTCATCTAGGCAGCTTGATATTTGGACAAATTTGTCTAAATCAGGTAATGTATCTGTAAGCAGCTGAAGAAGAAATACCTTAAGAAGAAACAAAAGATGGATCTTGGAAGAAATTTTGGAAACTTCAATTTAATGTAATATGAACACATTAATATTCTAAAATCTTCCATATTGCTCTAATTTAGTAAAAGAACTGTGTATTGGATTTTTCCATTTAAAAATGAGGCACAATGAACTTATTTAAAATATTTTACTAGATTATACATATACACTTTTCAAAATTCTCACGTAATCTCTAGTGAACTTTTAAATGGTCAAAACTTGTGTTCATTGGCCGGGTGCAGTGGCTCATGCCTGTAATCCCAGCACTTTGGGAGGCCAGGGTGGATGGATCACGAGGTCAGGAGTTTGAGACCAGCCTGACCAACATGGTGAAACCCCATCTCTACTAAAAAAAAAAATACAAAAATTAGCCAGGCATGGTGGCGCGGGCCTGTAATCCCAGCTACTCAGGAGGCTGAGGCAGGAGAACAGTGTGAACCCGGGAGGTGGAGGTTACAGTGAATCGAGATCGCGCCACTACACTCCAGTCTGGGTGACAGAGCAAGACTCCATCTCAAAAACAAACAAACAAAAAACCTGTGTTCATGTGAACCTTTCCTTTTTTTTTTTTTTCCATATTCATCTACACTTACAGATTTCCTCAGTAACATTTTGATTTGCTGGGTGTTTGCTTTTGGTTGCATTTTTCATTGCGTATGCAGAATGTCCATTGCTGCCTGTGACTTTAGGTTTGTTATAGGTTTATTTGGGCAGTATTAGGGAAAAAAAATGCCATAAACCAAGAAATACTCTCCAGCATTTTAATAGGGCCAAAACAAAGTTGGTGATCTAAAGACTTTTTTTTTTTTTTTGAGATGGAGTCTGCTGTGTTGCCAGGCTGGAGTGCAGTGGAGCGACCTTGGCTCAATGCAACCTCCATGCACTGCAACCTCCACATTCCGGGTTCAAGCGCTTCTCCTGACTCAATCTCCCAAGTAGCTGGGACTACAGGCACAGGCCATCACACCCAGCTAATTTTGTATTTTTACTAGTCGTGGGGTTTCACCCTGTTGGCCAGGATGGTCTCAATCTCTTGACCTCGTGATCCACCCGCCTCGGCCTCCCAAAGTGCTGGGATTATAGGCGTGCGCCACTGCACCCAGCCTAAAGGCTTATTAATGGTATGGAGTTTCTACAT